GTCATTGTAATTCAGCCGCAAGGAATATCCACCTAGAAAATAGTGTTCACCCTATGATTATATATTTTACTTTAGCACTTTTATAACAGTAAGGCGATGACCACAATGAGGATGGAGTCATCTTCTGCAAGTTTAATCACGGGGTGGTTCAATAGACAGAAAAAAGAATACAACTAGAACAGGAATTTCTCTACAAATATCATTTGCAAAGCATCGTTGACGGACAAAGGACTATGGCCACACAAGACAGCCTGGAGAGGACAAACCTAGGCAAGAGGCACAAATGACCAGATGATGGCCAGCAATGATAGCCAATGTAATATTAAGAATGAACTTGAAACACTGACTTCACGCTGCATTCCCTGGTCCCAGTAAGGTGCCTCGACAGTGATTCTCGCAGCTTTATTGATACCAGAAAGGCTGCCAGGAAGGCTTTCATGGTCCAAATGTCAGGGAAATGGCACAGAATATGATCACACACATTACAGACAGACTACAACAGCTGCCCTTATGAGGAGCCAACTGATATCCTATGGTTTGAAATCAAGACAGCCACAGCCAACTGCTTCTGAGCCGCAATCTCAAGCCACACACAAAGAATGTGGAAACTTCACCAATACGCACCAGTGTGCTTCAGGGTTAGCATGGAGGGAACTTTGGCTGACTTAGTTGTTCAGCTCTGAACTCTAAAAATGCATTTGCACCTAACACAAAAGGAGACAGCCTTCTCAACCGAACGCAAAGACTCAAAAATTGGTCATCAAGCATAAACCATCTATGCAAGAAATTCCTGCAGACCAACTACTCGGCTATTAAAAGCTCTGTGACCTCCCTTCTCTTCCATTTCATAGACTACATTAACAACAAATGTTTCATGTCATACAACTTTATTAACCTGGAATGCCAGCAAATGACTGCAAAATATTCTCTCCTTTTTGATTCAACAACAAAAAATAGCTCAAATAGGGAAGATCTGTCAGCATCACTGGAGTGATCACTTGTGTGATCTCAGGGTACTAAGGATTCAGCTCTCCACATGCTAATCCCAATTTTTCTCTGCAGCACCATCTCGGACAGCTCTGCCCGGCCAAAACAAAACAGTACAATGCAAGAAATGACCATGAACCATGGAGAAATGGGGGGGTAAGAGCTTCTCCACGCGGCTAGTGAGCTCTTCCCGTAAGCGCATCAGGATGGTAATCCCGAACAGAGGCTGCAAGCCTGAAACACACTCTGTCCCCACCGTGTTTCTCTCAGGACTAGTCCGTGTGACAGCACCCTTCTGTTACTAGGTGTGGGAGGTACACAGTTAACTACCTGCCTGTTTGGCAGTTTCTGTACTGAGTGTTACAGGAATATGTATGACATAAGTAAAAATAGAAAGGATACCTGGGTTCGACATCATTCCACAACATGTCTGTTAATATCATAACTACAGTAAAGCATAGATCGCATTCTGATTTTTTTTTTTTCAGGTTTTCTTTCCCAAGGGATGGTAAGAAGTAATCTCCCTGTTGTTACAAATGTTTTATTTTGAAAGGAAAGCTTTTATGCATATTTTAGTTGATCTAAATACAGTAGATCTCGAGTTTTTAAATCACCAGATATATGTAATTATCTCAAGCTAGATTCTGATTTTGAAAGAAGCTCTAATTAGCTCCCCATTTTATGCTGCTATAATCCTTTCTTCAACTCCCATGAGTGTTACTATTGCTAAGCAGCATGAGGTTAGGAATGATGGATGATACCCAGAAAGGAAGACAAACAAAAGGGAAATTCAAAATCCCCTGAGATCACCCGCAGCTGTATCGGCAAATGAAGATTTCCACATTAGGTCATAAGACGACCCTTACAGAAACACATACCAAAAAGGCACGTCTTTTTCCCACTGAGTATTTGCAAGTCTTTAATGTAGTATATAGAGAGTATATGTCCTTCATAGAGGATAAATACAAAAGTGAATAAAAATTCAGCTTTCCTGGGAGCCGCTATGAAATCAACAGCATCAAAAAAGAAACTTTGTCTTAACGTCATAGAGATGCTCAGTAAAGACATAAGACCCCAAAATAAAACAAACTAGTAAGAGCTATATACAATACAAGTATTTAGAAAAATACTCAAGCACATAAACCTTCTTCTGGCACATGGCTACTGTCCAAACCCAACCCAGCTCTGATCATCAGTAATGCAACTAAATAAGGGCCAAATTCATCATGAAAAAAATGCTGATGCAGTTGGGTGACACTGATTCAACTTTTTTTTTCCATGTGATTTGGTCCATGCTTTTGACACATAAATCATTAAAAAGACAGATTTACTCAAGGGCATTAGAGCATTTAGGTGGAAAGAAATACACAGAAAAAATGGTAGAAAAGGCACAGTGATACTATTTTTGACCACCTAGGGTACAGACACCATTTTTGTGTAAAACACCTTCACTGAAACTTGCACAAAATCATCAGAGCCTTGATGAAAGGTCACAGGCAGAAAATACAGATATATATCTGGTTGTAATTTTGGTATAGACTGTGTTTTTTCAAAATTCATAAATCTAGCTTTCAAAGAAGAAAAACAAACCTGGCTTCTCTTTGCTATCTCTCTCTCTAATGCTTATCCATTCATTCCCACATATAAAAGACTGATGGGTCCATCTGTCCACGTGTGACAATGGAAAATTACCGGACAGAAGTACAGATTTTCATGAATGAGGTGTTAATCAAAACCTTATGATCTAGAAGTGTAACTAACTGGGTGAGAAATCCAGAAAGTCTTGCTAGTTTGATAGAATAGTGCCAAACGGTAATGAAAATACTCACAGCCAATAAAAGTTTGAGACGTTACTATGCATGTTGACACTCTGTACACTGAAGACCTTCTTGGCAAAGCACTCAGGAGCCACTGAATGTATTAGTTTAATTTCACTTCTTTCCCTTCATGCATTCAACAAGTTCCAAGCCAATTATATTACATGGAAAAGGCTCCAGACCTCTTCTCATTTCAAAATTGTTCTGATTAATTTCTGTTTTAAAATTACAAGTATGCAACCTTTTCTGCCTTGATTTTCCTGGGAAATGTCTCAGAAGACCAGAAAATTGGAGCTGTCTTTTTTTTTTCCTGCCCTGCAGTGGAGGATCTTTCATAAATGCATAATTATTATTATCTTTTCCAAACTGTTTGCTGCGCTTTTAATTACAGAACAGTTGCTAATAAAAGAAAATTACCAAACTGCCCTTCCTCATTCAAATAATTTGGTTTCGCTCTTTTGTTCTGCGTGGTGTCACAACCTTCCTTATTCCTTTATACAGAGAAAGGCACCAAGAAAAGAACGTCTTGTACAACAATCTTATTTTTAATCATTGGAAAGGAGGAAGAAAAGGGCATGAGCCCATTTTCTCATTTGTAAGTCTACTTTAAGGAAAGGAGGGTGATCATCAATAATATGATTTTATTAGCCGATAGGAATGTGTCGCCTCACAAAATATTAGCTCAAGGGCAGGAACTGACAAACGAGATTGGGAGTGTGGGAGGGGAGCGAAATACCACGGCAGCAAAACTGAACTTCCTGAAGGAAATCACTTTCAGCTACCAGCAATCCTCACAGGAATCCATAAGGTGGTTGGATTTTAATACTATGGGCTTGTCTTTCAATCTTTTATAATTACAGTTAGTCATAAATATGATGATTAGCAATAACAATGCAGCCTTTTCCCAGCTTCTCTGATTTCAAATTCCTCTTAAAATGGCTACAATTAATTACTCATATTTTCCATGCTGTCTTAGGCGTTTATAACTGTTACAGTTACTCTAGCACAGTATTGATGCTACAAAAAAGTAGTCAATGGCATGCTTTTAATGAACAGCAGCGTATAAAACGTTGCAGGAAATTTCCATGTTCGCTAAATGCTTGGGTGTAAGTAACAATAGCCCTATGATTGCAAATAATTTTTTCCCATTTTGGTTTTGTTTTCATGGCTTGTTTTTACCAGGGGCATTTTTTTTTTTGCTTTTATCTATTTATTTTCAACTGTTCTTAAGAAAAACGTGAACTGAATATCATCACAGATATTCTTCTAGTAAAATCTTTTAGAATGCAAAATAGTTTCCCAATAGAGAGAAAAAAGCAGTTTGGTTGGGATGTTCAGAATAAATCCAGCAAGCTCCAGAAAAAAAAAAAAAAAAAGACTGTTTCAGAATGACAGCAAGGTGGAAGAAGAGCACAACCCATCCTTCTCTGGATCCTGAAATGAAATAATTCTCCAATACAGGGCACCGGCTGTAAGTACAGAGCAGGACACAAGTCTTTTTCTAGAGTACAAAACAGCCTGAGTGGTTTGCGTCAGTTAGGCATATCATTGGTAAAAAGTCTGTGTGGGTAGAGTTTGGTATCTAACAGCAGGAACACAGCTGTTCTGTTCCAGTCTCCTTCCTATACTGTGGCCATCTTATAAAACCTTTAGCAATTCACTTCTGACACTCATCTTTGCTGCATCTGCTTTTTTGCAAACGGAAAGGGGAGGGATAAAAAAAGGTTGGCTTGGAATACTTAATGAAGCTTGAAAAAGAAAGACATAACGTGGTCTTTTCCCCACCTTCAAATTAACAAAGCAGATTTTGTGCAAATGCAAGTGGTAAAAAAATATGCCAGCAAGTAAGGCAGCTGGAGTATGTAGATCACATTACAAACGAAAGGCTTGTTTTACAGCCATTGTCACATGTCAAGTTGATAAGCTGAACTATGGCAAAAAAACCCCTACAGAGCCAATGATCTCTGAGATCAGACAGAGTCTCTTTACCTAATATATGCAGCTAAATATGTGTACTCCCTACATCTGCCATAGCAACAAGGAGAGAACGAGGAATTAACTGCATTAATAAAAAAATTGAAGGGACTCCTGTATGATACAACAAAACACCAGAAACCTCTCAGCATCAAAGCAAAAGAAACGTAACAAAAGCACAGAGAATCATTTCAGAGCAAATCATTGAAACCAGCTGATTACCTGAGCTTGCACATCCCTGCTGTAGGGAATCCTGTAATGATGTCACAGAGTGAAGGACTAGATAAGAGAGGAGAGGAGAATCAGGGAACAATAAAAGGAGATGCCAAACCACAAACTAAACAGTAAGCAGGCTCAACAAATAGCAAACTGCTGATCTCGGCAAGGGCACACTGCTCATTTAAGTCAGCGGCACTACAAGGGTACAACCGAGGCCAAACACTAGTCTGGCCTTTCTGTATCAATAGATATTAGGATAAGAGAAAGCCACAATAAAAGCGTAATTGCAACACAGCATTCCCCCTTTAAAGCTTAGTTGTTCTAGCTCACCTCCTGAGAAAGCAATCGATATTCTCCTAGGAACAATAAAAATCCCCTGTGCAACCCTAGAAAACAGCACACAAGATCTCCCAGCTCTTTGGCCAAAACTTTTTGAATTACGTATCATATTCGTGCCTAGATAATATCATCCTAGTTAGGAACTTGATAACTGCTGCTTATCAATTACGCAGAAACGAGTACTTCGTTCGTAAACGTTCCCAGTGCGTCCCCGCTAGGGACCGGCCGGGCTGAGGGCGGACGCTGCCCCTGCCAGTGACGCCTGGACCAGCACTGGTTGCAAGTCTCACTTATTGCAAATTTAAAAAAAAAAAAAAAAAAGGAAAAAAAAAAAAAAACCAAACGATTTCCTCCTCCTCAACTCAAACAACATAGTGGAATTTTAATTACCTTGTCCTTGTTGCTGCCCTTGTGCAGGCAGGACACACTGTCCCAGCTCACCATTCAACCAGAGCTGCATACGAATAAATGGTTCTCGGCCTTTTTGGGTCAATTTACTCCATGGCTTTGGCCTGGAGAGCATGTCACTGACACTTCCTTGGGACAGCCCCAATACCTGAAGTGAAGCAACCAACAACGGCACGTTAACACATTTGATGTGGAAGGGGGGCGGAATTTAAGTCACCTTGGTTTCCTTTTCTGTTATATTGCTCAAGTCAGCTGTGTATGGACAGTTAGTAAAACTGCAAAATGACATCTGTAGGTAATTGATGGAAATGCTTTTTTCCTGCCGTGGTTTCCTTCTGGAGCGTGGGTTTTTTCCTGCAGGAACAGAGCGGCAGCACAAATGGCAGACGGATGGTGCAACATTTGCATGCTTTTCATATTTTGTGTCAAATAGTTTCATCAGTTCTAACAGGAAAAAACACAGAGTCCGGGCACACACAGGCAGATAAAAAAGGAAATGATTGGCATGTATTTTGTTCTTAAACAAAAATAATTGGGACTTTTGAGACTAGGCCTATATTTGGTTGATTTTTTTTTTCTGGTATGAATTATAACGATGTGTGTTTTCACCTGTAGCAGCTGCTGCTCCACATAAGTAAATATTTAAGCACACAGGCGACTGCAGCAAAGGGGGAATTTCAGACAGGCAGAACACAATTACTTGCCTGGAATTCAGCACAGGTACAGGGGTTAAAAATCATACATAATGAAAGCCGCCACGAGATCTTTAATGACCCCAAGAGGTCAGGCTTTTCATTTTACATCTTAGTGAAAAGGTAATAGCGCAATGCCAGCTCCTATTATACTATTATATTGATTCATTTCTTTATGGGAAGAAGAAACACCAGATGTCCACCACTTCTTATAGCCTGGGAGGTGTTTTCTGGTGGCTGGGGACACTCCTGAAATCCCACGTGTTCAATGCTTAGGGCCCACAGTGTGAGAACTTCAGACAGCCTTATCATGCATCACGTATCTGTAATCAAACATTGCTTAAAAATGTCTCAAAGCACACTAAGATACCAAGCACCAGGTATAAGAAATGACTGTGAATTCTTGACTTCAGACTAAGGAGAGGTAGGGGATTTTCCATGTGTTTGTTTAAATACCCTTGTGCACATTTCCAAATATTAAAAAAAAGGGAAAAATGCTCTTGTGTCCATAATCTTCACTTATAACAAATTTAAGACTCTCCAGTCATGACAATGGTATTACTCAAATATTCCATGAATTCATTACATTAAGCATGAAATATTGAGTCTCAATAACATTTGCTTCAGCTTTCAATGTTTCTAAACTCAGAGGCCCCATTTCTAATTACATGTGGCTGAAGCCAATATTTGTATAAAAAACCTCTGCCATTCTCAAAACACAGGAAAACTAGTACTTTCCTTTGTGAGCTTATTTTTCAACTACTTAACATGCGAAGCAAAAACATTTTTCCAGAAGATATACGTGGCATATCCCCCTCTGTTAAACTGAGCTCTGTACCAACGTAAGGAGCAGAACGCACAATCACAATACTGGTGTAACAAGAGATAACCAGTTCTTTACCTTTTCCCCAAAGATCCTTTGGCAGATGCCATTCTTTGCTAGCTTTTCTTTGACCTGCCGCGTTAGCTCTATCGTATCCACTTCCTGGTACATATAAATCTCATACTGCTCAGGTGTCAGTGGAGGAACTGAAGGTTTGGATGGCTTTGACAAAGACACGATAGGGGATGAAGGGAGAGGGCTATTTTGTGGCGTCTCACTGCGACTCGCCCCAGTCATGCTCAATTCAGAACTCTGGGAGTACGGAGATTCCGCGTTTGGCCACTCTTTCCAATACTCTGAAGAAGATGGTCCTTGGAGCTGGCTACGATCTGGCCTAGTCTGATTGCTGACCTTTTCTTTTCCACCACTGGCTTCCTCAACTTTTATATCTTCGGGAAGTGCTGTATTTCTTCTCTCATGCTGCACAGTATTCCACCAATGGTCCTTCCAAACACCACCACGTCCCAACTCATTCTTAACATGCCTCAACATACCCTGGGTAGAATCACTTATTCCATGAAGCTCTAAAACAGGTGCCTCCTGAGGCTCCTTTTTGAGCCCAGAGAGGTTCTGCAATGCAGAGATACTGGAATCAGTGACAGATGAATGTTTCTTCAGGGATATGGCCAAAGGAGAATAGCTGGAAACCGAAGACATTGCAGGTGTAGATACTAGTTTGGGGGACAGGATAGAAATGTCAGCTTGAGATAAAGGTGGTGTTTTTAAGGCAGGTTCAAGGGCAGCCTGCTGTGCCTCCATTTCGCGTCGGGCTTGTTGCAGAATGGATCGAATAGCATCATCAGAATTGCCACTGCTAGATGCAGAAGGCGGCTGAGCCGGCTCAGCTATGGAAAACAACCAAAAGACTAAATGCAACAGAGGAATATGCTTTATATTCAACATGTGCTACTGTAAATATTTCCCTGTCACAAAAAGGACTGCAATACATTTCTGGATGGGAGGGAGGAGTTTTCACTAAGCAAAGATTTGCACTTCTCAAAATAAGGTAAGATTTCCAAAGTTCTTCACTGGAAAATTTTTATAGTTGCCAAAGTGCTGGACATTTGCACGCACAGACTCAACTGCAGAAGTCTAGTACTACTTGCATGTTTTCCACCATTGTAAAAAATTTTCAAATAAATGCCTTTGAAAATCAAGCCTTCACCTCTTCCTCCCTCACCCCAAGTGGTCAATAACATTTTATAGTTCTATTCACAAAGTTATTTAACCTTTCGCTTCTCTCTATCACCACAAATGAATCGTAACACACACTCAAAACTGAACACAGCTGCATTCACCTGGACAGACTATTAATACCCTCTCACAATATAAATAAAGTGAGACCTTTTACCTCCAGAAATACAACACACACATTACAACAACGCAAGAACTTTAGTAGGAGACTTCATTATTTCATGTGACAAGCTAAATATGCTCCTGCTTCCTGTTTTCTTGTTCCATGGTCCCAATCACTGAAATAAACAGCTCAACAGAAATCAGGCTGGTGCCTGGCCATCACTCTCTGCCTTATCTGAAGCCCTAGAATGGAGCCACGGGAGCTTTCAGAGGAGATAACACCTAAAGGCGGTATTTCAGTGGGGATCCAGGACTTGTGTGGCTGTGCTGCAGCAGTCGGGGATGAGCAGAGATTGGAACGTGGGCATAGCATTATCTCTGCAGAGCCAGGAGGTTTTTGCAATGGCATCTGTTTCCATTTAAGTTAGTCTCCACTGAGGTCCCCAGTGCTCGAAAACCAATTCCTCTGAAGGCTACTCTACAAAAAATGGGGAAAGTGAAGCACTAAGTAGTAACAGGGAACACATACACTGCAAGAAGTGGCCTCAAAGTGAAATAAGATTTGAAACATGCTGTGTATTATTCTAGTAATATTATGCCTCATCTGAATACATTTCCGAATTTGCCTTCCTACATTCCTTCCTGTCACACACTATAAAATAAATGAAAAGCTAAGAAATGGGAAAAAAGACAGTGGGATCGTATCTTCTGTTTTATCTACTGGTTTCACAGGGAGTTTTGAGGCTGAATTAATATTTGAAAGCAAGTTTGAGATTCTCAGATGAAACACGCTACTGAACAACGTGCTTGCACTTTCCTGCACACAGCCCACATTTTTCTCTATGTAATCATTACTTGTATAAAGTCATATTATTCAAATTGTACATTAACCGGTCTTTTATATTTTGCCATGAGATTAGCTTAGTTTTCATTTAAAAGACAACTATCTAAAACTGTAAATCAGTACTTAGTTTAAAAAATGAAACAGAAGCAATGCACAGTACTTGCTAGTTCAGCATTAGCCCTTTAGCAGTGCTGGAAAGTTGTGGGGGCTATGGACTAGACAGAAATGTTAACTACATAACAGCACACAATGAGAAATTAAACTTATCCTGGGCTACGGCGTTAAACTAATGATGTTTTGGGGAAAGGAAATGCTTTTTGGATTTGCCAGTTCATTCACTGAATACATTCTGTAACCAAAAATAAAGTCATATAAAAGTTAGAACTGAGTTTGCCTATATTACAATTTCAGTACATAATGTTCCACAGTATGATCGTGATGGCTAGATTGTGACCTTCACCCTGACAAATTCACTCAGTTCCCTCTCCCATGCAGTTGTGTCCCCAGGGCCTGAGTTAGGCAGAAAAGAAGAGAAGAGACGGGAGAGCAGGAGCCATTCCCTTTTCAAGAAGCGAACTGGTAGAAGAAAGGATTTTGTAGGTTCATCCTGCAGAGTGACTGCCTGCAGGTCTGGAGTGGTGTAAAGAAGGCAGAACTCTGCACGTGGAACAAGGTGTTTAGAGATCTCACAGTGTCAGTCCCCCAGGAGCAGGGCAGAGCGCTGAGCAGAGACCCCGCCAAACTGTGACACGTGTAACTTTAGCTTGGGATGCCTTACAGACAGAAATAACTCCATCAAATTCAAAAAAAAAAGCTCTTCAAACATTCAAAGTTTTCAGAATATAATTAACTGACCAGAAAGCTCATGGTAATTGTTTTAATTAAATTCTGAAATAAAAGGAGCAAGAGACAAAATGAGAATGTACCTGTTTTCTGTACTTGCAGCTCCCTTTTGGCTTGTTCGAGAATGGATTTGATGGCTTCATCAGAGCCAGTCTCTGTGGTTCGGATTCTTGTGGTTATATTACCTGAAGAGAAAAACAAAACTAATGACATCGGGAAAACTGTTTGTGTTGGGTTTTTTGTTTTTTTTTTTTGTTTTTTTTTTTTTTTAAACACAAAGACAGACAGCATATACTGATATATCACCAGCATGACCTGACAAAAATTTACATAGTATCTTTACAAACATTTATAACACCAAGAACATACTTAACATAATAAAAGAAAAAAATATCCTTATGGTGCAAAAGCCTGTCCGCTAGCTGCACTGGAATGATGAGAACACCGAACATCATCAGAGGAAGAACTAGATGGATATATATATTCCTTTTCCAGGATAACATATATAGGTCTATTTTTTATCTTTTCTCTCTCTTTTTTTTTTTTTTGGAGGGGGAGAGGAAATGGAAGGGAAAAGAAACAGAGGGGAAAGGAACAAAGGTAAAAACATAAGGTCAGGAATCACCTTAAAAATTGCATCAGCTGCTAGGCAAAGTAGGATGAGTATACGTTCAGCCCAAAAGAGAATTAAAAAGTAACTAGATAAAAATAATTTTTAACTTTCTAGAGGTTAATGTATGAAAAGAACCAGTCATTTAAACGCAGATACCATTTGAAGTACTCTCCAGCTAAGAGCTACCTGGCTGTTTGGTTTTGTTTTTTTTTAACCACTAAGGGGAAGAAAAGGAGGGACGACTGTAACTGTGAATGCTATTACACTTAACTGCATTTTTTATTACGAGATTATAATTTGTAATTGAGTTAGATAATTTCTGACTGGAGTAAAAATAACTACAGAGTTTCAGGGTACATGTCTTTGTTTTTTCTTCTTCCTCTTCTCTTGCTAGAAGAAAAATTCTGCAACTAATCTATAACAAAGAAAAACGTTCATACTTCCTGTTCAGTGATAATTTATCGAGCTGATGTTCACTTATCTTGTTGTCTTTTTCATACACCACATTGAAGTAAGTATCACACTAATTTAACAGCATATTGAAGTGTATTTGTCAATATAAGCCCCATGAGAAGAAAGAAATAAATCTAGAGCAGAAGCAGTATGTGATTGATGTTGGATTATATGTAATTGTACAACTTTCTTCCTCCAAAATCACAAAAATAGCAAAGAGAGCATTTCAATAGATCTGATGATTTTATAAAGCCACTTCTATCACTTATCTCTTTTTATCTGCGTACGCAGTGAGGTTGGGAGTGGAAAAAGTATCCAAACAGAGTTGCGTTAGTACAGCAGCAGCAGAATTAGAAAAAGCAAAGTGTTCATCTAACCCATGGTTTGTTTTATACTTACTGTCTGTTTTTCTATCAGATTCCAGGCCAGAATCAAACTGCACAGTTTTAAGGAAACACACAGCTAAAGCACACTCCACTTCCTAGGTATTGACTGCAAAGAAAAACACCTGCCTGTGACGTACCTTCAGACCCATTTCTTCGTTTCGGTACTTCCTGAAATAGTCTGTTCAGGTTCTGGCCTGGATTCTCTGTTGAAAAACAAGTTTGGTAAGAACAAAACAATCAGGGGATGGTTGCTCTGACATCATGGGCTGTGTGACATGAGAAGCTAGCAGCCTGTCTCTGAACGCGAGGGTTCGAGCTGTCCTCGCCCCCTCGAGCCTTTGTCTGAGCGCTGGAGGAGCTGGCTACTTTGGAAGAAGCAAGGCTGGCTGATTTGTTAATAAAGATTACAGCTACGTTCGGAAAGGAGATTAGACAGATATAAATAAATGTCTAGAGATACCAAAAATGAAGAGGTTAAAGATGGGCAGATAATCCCCTCAAGTACAATCATCAAAAGGAAGAGCAGATTATAAATCTAACAGTGTGCACTTTCAATTAAACAAAATCTAGGAAAACCCTGCCTGTCCTTTGCAGTATTTCTTGACTGTAAACAACTTACTTTTCAGTTTCTCTAAATGTAAATCTCAGTCTTCGCTTAAGATGAATCACAATGAAATGCATGTTATTCTTAAAATCACTGCCTTAAATATGCAAAGCTGCTTTAAATTAGGATTGTTTTTTAATTACTCATCTCATGCATCACCTATGATGCTCTGTCAAAGCACTTTGGGGGAAAAAAAAAATCACACAACAAAAGTTCGGTCTCAATAAACAACCCCAAATAAAAATTTTCAAGTATTTCTGAGGGCTAATACCCTTAGTAGCTACTGGCCCTTTTTTGCTCTGTTTTTAGCTCTGACACAGACCTATTGGGAAGTGAGGGATGGAAGTGCTCCTGCTGCTTGCTCCTGCTGACAAACACAAGTCAGCAGCTAAAAAAAGCATAAGCAAAGATACTAACCTGCTTGAGTGCTGAAAAGCTGAGTTAGAAAGCTGTGCTTTGTGTACTTGACATCTGATTCAGGTGAAAACAGCAGCAATGCACACATGGCCCCTTACAGGGAAGCTTCTGACTTTTAACATTTGTAACTAACAGGAAAATAGGGCAAGACCCTCGGCCGGCGAGTGCTTACCTCTTTGTCTACCCTGGATGCTGCGAAGAGCCAAGATGTTCTGCTCGTCCGAGAGGAACTGCTTCATCTTATGAAATGGCTCCTTGCCTCTCACAGTCAGTTTATTCCATGGCTTTGGCCGGGCTAGTATCTCACTCACAGACCCTTGCGACAGTCCCAACACATAATGTCCAAATATCCGCTGTCCAATATTGTGCTTGATCAATTGCTCTTTCACCTGACGTGCAATTTCGGCTGTGTCTATCTCCTCGCCTTCAGAGATGCTCCCAGCACTTTCTGACTGGCTGGGAGACGGGGCCATGCCATTTACGTCCGGGCTTTGTTGTAATGGACTTTGGGAAGATATGGAGTTTGTGCTGTAAGGACCTGTTGAAAAAATCATGCTTGTGCTTCCTGCTTCCTGCATTGCCTTGGAGTAGAAGGACTGCATTAGCTGTCGCTGAAGGAGAGAGTTTAGTGCAAATTTTCCTGTGGAGGCCAGGGGTAAGCTGGGGCTCGCCAGGGATGAGCTGAAAAAGTCTTGACTTAAACCCGTTGGTGAGAACTGGTGTGTACCATTAGTATTGGAAGCCTGCTCCCCCGCGTTGCGGAGCAACTGAGAAGGAGGGGAGGCCGGCAAGGTTGCAGGACGCTGACTCTCAGGCTGGTCTTTCCCTTTTCTCCTGGCTGACCCTACAAGGAAGGTCAAACATAATGCATTATGGGGGATCAAAGAGGGAAAAACCAAGATAAAAAAATGCAAAGTTTGCCCCGCAAAGGGAAAAAGTGCAGATTTACAAGGGCCAATGAAGTGGCGGTGGGATTTTTGTTTTCGTTTTGTTTTTGGTTTCTTTTCGTTTGTTTTTTCCATAATCGAAATTTTAATTAGCCAAACAAGGCCCCCAAAACAAACAACATGCATTTCATGTTTGCACCTTTCTTGTATGTTGCAGCCTGGAGAATCCCCCTTACAAACATTAAAACTAGAACAATTACATGAAGTGCAGTTATACATTTAAAATAAATGCAGTTACAGACAGCAAGTCTCTTTGTTGCCTCTCATTCAAGACATTACTCATTGGACCTGACTGAACCCAAATGCAGCAAACATTTACATTTTGGAACAAACCAATTTGAATAAAGGAATCACCATTAGGTGGATGCACCAAGATCACTCAGTTAAAGTCATAAAACGCTTCAGAATTCAGTAATCCCAGGGCCAGTGGCAACTTTTAACTTTCTTCCAGCTGCAAAAACCATAAGCATTCAAGTATCTGGAAATTCCATGACTTGCCATTTAAAAAATGTGCACACAAGATGTAAAAAGCCCACATTAGGAAAGCTAAACGGCAAACACACTTTGCTAAAAAGAAAGTATTTTGTTTTTCCAAGCTGACCTGCTGGTAGTATATCTAAGTGTATCAGACAGGAAGATTACTGTGTTCTACATGCAAACATTTTGCATAACATTGTGTGTGGGGGAAGAGTCTTCTGGTGCCACAGATGAATTTCTTCCCAAAACAGAAGACAGCCTTAAACACTACCACTTGGTACATCTTGTAATGCCTCTCTTTCCTAACCTTTAAAGACTCTCTGAGGTCTCCAAGTTTTATTTTATTATCCAGCCTATAAAACTGCAGAAATCAAGCTTTATTCAGCGTTCATGTTGCCTCTTAATCTTTCTGCCATGCATGAGCTCAGACATTCATCTCTCACTCAGCCCTCCCTCCCTTACAAGACAGCAAACAAACCAGAATAGCTGAAAATCGTGTCAACCTACCACTCAGGTCACTATTTGTGATACGCAGCGTGGCGTTCTCAGACTGCAAGGAGCGGTTCTTCTCCAGCAGCAGCACCTCCAGCGGTTTAGATGCATCCTAAAGAAAATCAAAGTGGGAGGTTTGTTTCTAAAAGCATTAAGAGTCTCACTCAGGCACTAAAAAGGATTTCAGAAGAAGAAAACAAGTGCTCATCTCTGCTGTGAAGGCAGCTAGGGAATTCACCATGCATATATTTGCAGGAATCACTCAGTGCTCCTACGTGAGCCATAGAAGAGATTCACTGTTTAATTTTCACTGTAAATCATTCATCAATTCTGCATTATTTTGGAATGTGTAACAGAACATTTTCTTAATCCTACTTATTTTAAAATGGCATGCTTTCAATTTAAAAGCTGTAGCCCTCTAATCTGATTACAATAGGAGTTAAGATTGCATTATTTCTTCTAGGTCAACTCACCCAAGTTAAGCATTCCCTTGAAATGCTGCGTTTCAACATGAACCGTTTGTTCAAAAATAAAATCAGCCACAGAAACCTGCCATTTACCTTCCACTAAATATCTAACCCTTGATCATTAAAACACATATTGAAAATTAATCCCAGTATACTGATACTCAGTTCAGATTTCAGAAGCAGGAATTTAATTCACAACCTTTAAATTTAAGTGAGATTAATTTGCTGGAAAAGCAGAGGTTTCTCCTGCCTTCTCAGTACTCAAAGGTTTATTTTCTTTTGTGAACATTATTTTCAAGGCTAACAAAGACTTAAAAATGCTAAAATCCTTGCTCAGCATACTGCCACTACAAGAAACATGCAAATCTCAGCGCAGCTATACACCAACTTTAGTATCTTCAGAAGACTCAACTGCACAACATTATGGTTATCCACTACAGCACAGCTGAAGTGTCATTCTTTGTCCTTGACCACTTAGAAGAAATTAACAGGCAAAAAATGTTCAGTTCAGCTTTTTACATAAGAAAACATCAGGAAAACAATGATCAACCCCTATGTCTCAACATCAACAGGAAATTGTCCATGCCAACACCAATGAATCGCAAGACAAAATTTTTGTTAAATAACTGAACTGCTGAAGTCAGTAAGAAAACAAAAGTAGGTTCGGTACCTGTGCACCAGAGCTTTCAGATGGTGCAAACTCCATGGATTTCAATATACTGTGAAAGGCAGAAAAAAAAAGTTACTTTCTATTTCTTCTTTTCATAACAAGTCCACTAATGAGCATCAACATTATAATCTCCTACTCTCCAGCAACACTACAAGTGGTAACAACTCTTCTTGCAGTAACACAGTCTCATAATGAATACAGAATAACTATTCAAACTAGTTATTGGATAAGAAAATTTTCTTGAGCGTCATCTAAATCATTCCATATGCAATCCCACCAGGCCAGTTTAAAGCGTAAATTTAAAGGTTAATAAGGATATAACATTTTAAGCTGTCAGAAGCGATATAAATTTATCTGTGAAGCTTGAAGGGAATGAAAAAGTTGTAGCAAAGCATCAAAACAGGGGAATCACCACCACAGTTACAGTCCTTTATATAATATACACCAGCTCACATAACAAGGAAAATATGCACAAATAATCTTCCTGACCAAGACACTACAGGCTAAAAGGCAGTTTTTCATTTTAATAACCTTCTAGTTCTGTGGCAAAGGGAAGACAAAATGGCACAATATTTCTTAAGAAATATGAAAGATCCAAATATTTATAAGTACATTAAGAGAAGAATCTGATAGTTTCGTTGTCAATATTTTATATAAATACTGAGCGGTCAAAGGACGTCTTCCTTCAAAGTCTTTCAGTTAGAGTTGTATTGTCTGGCAAACAAGAATCTTACAGGAATACAAACTTATTACTGTGCTTTGTCTTATAAATTTTTTTAAAGAGGCCTGCTGTAGGCAGGATGTTAGCTTCCTCAGACTGAAGCAATAAATGATTTCAGATTCTCGTTGTACAAAGATGACATTCATTTGTTGAAGAAAAATACATAAACAGATATAGATAGTGTTTATACATCGTTTTTCATGTATAAAACACCAGGAACTTTGTCAGGCAGGGAGAATATGTTTAATCATGTATGAAATGTGGAAACTGAGTCAAAAAAAGCAGAAGGCCAGTATTAAGACATAAAGACTAGTTCTGGATGCCACTGGGAGTCAGGCAGGCACCCAGTACTCATTAACTGCCTCAGACCATGTGGCATCCAGCTCCTCTATAAATCTGGCTGTGCATTAATTCAGAATTAGATGCCCATTAAGTGACACTCTGGAAACCAGTGGTCTCAGTGACTCATTCAAGATCACTCGAAGTCATAACAAATTTAAGAAAAAAGTCATTCTGTGACAGAAACCTCACCTATTTTGCATCTGTGCATAACCACTGCATACAGGGTTAATTCTGACAGGCACTCCTACAAATATAGTAATTAAGAAAATCACAAAATTCTGGCCATCAGTTTCATCATATGGTGTCATGGGACGACACCTCTTGCCAGCAGAAATCACTGTAGGGTAGAGCCATCATCCAATACACAAGCACATAAAGCGATGCTGCTAAGACTCTGCTTTATGTGGGCACAAAGGCTCACCCACATACAAAAGTGCCTCTTTTCTGCTATTAATGGAGTTGTGCCAGTCAAGGACAGAGATTGTGCATTAATGGCTTGAGTCCTTAGAGATCCTGACATTATACTGACATCACAAGCATGTTTACTCAGGTTGCTAATCCCTGCTGAAAGCGAGTGTTTCTTGGGCCACCTCTTCAGAGGCACAGCTCTGTCTACCAGGACTCTGAGGTGGGGGAGATAAATACACAGAGACTCATCTAGGGAAACCCCCAGTCACTGGTAGGTGACTGTTTTCATCCTCCCATGGATTCTGCGGGGTATGGCCTCTGAAAGGACAGCAAGTAGTAATGGCGGTCAATGAGGAAGACCCACCTGAACCTAAAGAAACCTCCAATTTGTAACAGCAAATTATCACGTGGCAAACTTCCCACAGCAAATTGCAGGTGTTTCTCCCCTCTCAGTTCAGATCAGCAGTACCCTTGTGACACAGGTCTCCCAGTAATCCCCACTTACCACACTTTGGTTTGCCATGCGGAGCAGTCCTGGAGCGTACCAACCGTGTTCCTTCTGGATGAAACTAACCCAAAAAAGGCTGCATGCTCTCGAAGGAGCAGGCATGACGTGCTCTGACCACTACTGTGCTGCCTACAGAACCAGGCTGAAACCAGTTGGAAGTACAAAGGAAGCCTGAACGTATGTAGTGTGTATATTGGGCTCTTGGCACCCAAAGTCTGGCTTTAAAGCCCGGATCCTGTTGTGCCCTTCACATGCACAGGCTGCTTTACCAGTTCGCTTTGCTTCCGAGCACTTGCTGCTGACTGGGACTCTCAGAAAGGATCCTGAACCTTACAGCAGCTGTATTTTCCAGTGAGCTTGGAGCAGGCATGCATATTCAAACCTTGGCTGGAAACTTACTGACCTCTGCCTACTTAAAGTGGATTCTTTGCTACCTGAAATAGCTTTCTGGCAATTTCACAGGTAATTGCCTATACACTTAGAAGCAAAAATATACTAAAAACCAGGTTGATGGTATCTCGAATTGCCCTTGAAGGAATATTCACTACAGCAGGTTCATTTTTTCAAAAAATGTAAAAGTTAAACATGTCAAAAATGACTCTCCAAATGTGTCACAAAAGAGACATTTTCCTCAGGAATATGAGGAAGCAAAATGTTTCCCCTCCGGATTCCAGGAATATCTTTGCCCATGAGATCTCAACTCAATCTGCAGCTCAAGATCAGTTAACTGCTTTTTAAAGGAATGATCTTGTGACTTGAGTCTGCACATCTAAGACAACTTGAAAGATCTTACTCTAAAGCAAAGTGTGCATTGGGACGGCTCAACTTTCTGTTCGTATGATCCCGCCTGCAAAGGCAGCAGGGTTAGCACTGTTGTATTACTCGAGAGGGAACTGAAAGGACACACAGCTCTTAGATCTCAAAAATAGGTTTGAAAGCAATTTGGCACAAAAGCCAGTTCAGAAAGCAAGGAATCCTCCCATCCCAGATCTTGATGTGGACCCAGTTAAGTTCCTCCAAGGTTAGAAGCTGGCTGATATTGAGGCCCCTCAGCCTCGAATGCCCCTGACATCCTTTGGAGGATTAAGGAAAATACATCAGTGCCAGGCCAACTGAGAAGTTTATTCTCTTTCGTCCTGGTTTTGGCTGGGTTAGGTTTAATTTTCACAAGAAGCTGGGAGAGGGCACAGCCGGGACAGCTGACCCAAACCAGCCCAGGGGAGATTCCACACCATATGATGTCATGGTCAGTACAGAACTGGGGGAGGTGGCTGGGGGAGGGAGCACAGCTCAGAAAGGGGCTGAGTGTCAGGTTCCAGGTGGTGAGCAATTGCATTGTGCATCACTTGTTTTATATATTCTTTTATTAGTATTACTGATTAGTGTTATTGTTATTATTATTTCTTCTTGCCTTGTGTTGTCCTATTAAACTCTCCTTATCTCAACCCATGAGGTTTTACCTTTTTCTTACCACGACATCTTTCTTCCTTACTGACAAGATATCGGTTTTTTTGGTGCGTACGTGCATTATGAGCAGTTCCTTTTTGTCAGTGTTCAGGGCACAAAGGCAGGCATAGCAGGATTCAGTATGGGGGATATCAGATTTACAGCAAGAGACTTTTCATAGTTTCACTTCAGATCAGACTGTCACTCTCAGGTGATGCACATTCAAATTTTGGCACATCTTTTGGACCACATGGCAATAGAGAGGGTGGCGTGAATGGGCTGCTGTGACGATGCAGCACTGCAAACATCTTCGTTGCTCTCACAGAGGGTCTTAACCCCCCACACCTTCCAGCCAGAGCGTGTATGGACCCCAGGCCACCGACAAGCTAGCTGGCTGTCCCTCCAAAGTCAGCCTGGCCTGATAAAAAATGTTACCCACAAATTAGGGTATATAAAAGCTCTAACAGCCAGGAGAACAGACTTAATGTACTGGCACCCAACAAGGGCCGCTTCTAGGATGCTCTCCCATCTATTTCACTGCAGGCTCATCTCGAAATAACAGGAACAGGCAGAAAGACCATATGAACACTCCTGTGTCATGGCTTCTCCTGGTCTTCTTATCTGCCTTCCTAACCCTGTCCTCACGTAAGTCAATGTCGTAAAAAAGAAAGAAAGGAGAAAAAAAAAAAGGCATACAGTGATCTAAATGAGTTTCATATCTAAAGCAAAGGCATTAAACCAGGTAGGATTTAAAACTCATTTGCTGTTTCGGCACATGCACATTTAGTAATTCATGTAGCAAATTGGAAGGTTGTGGCCTAATTCCCATTCACTACTTTATATATGAGGGCATAAACTGGCTGAAATCTGAAGCTGACTTTCCTTAACTCTGGCGAGAACATGGACATACTTGCCCGTATCACTAAAAGGATGATGCTTTTTTGAGACCTGTTAATATTCAGGTATAATGACCAAAGAAATGACCAATTCATTTCACTTGACTGAAACGATATACCTACATCAGGGTGTGTTGCAGCTGGCAGTGAACCAGAACCGCAGCCAGCACGGCCTGAATATAATAGCACCAGGGGCTGGGCAGTCATGGGGCTTGCAAACCCAAACCTGCTTTCCATATTCTCCAGGGATGTGTAAACAAAAGCACATGACTACCAGCCTCATCTGAAATACCTCATTAAACAAGGTAACATTTTTTCAGTCTTCTTAAAATACACACAAAAATGCCAGAATGATGAAAGAAGAGATGGAGTTTCTCGCAGTTATTTAAACCTTGACACTAAACATATTTCCAGCCAAAAAACTTCCTATTCTGAACCTGACAGCTTATCTTGTTATAGTTTCAAATGAGGCTCTTCTAAGTCTCTTAAAAACCCCCTTGAAATAGGAAGAGGCTGTTTGTGGCTTTAGTTTAAAACCACAATATATTAGCAAAAATACACAGTGAAACAAGCACAGCATTAAAATGGTAAGTGCTGAACACTGGCTGGCAAAAGCATAGAAAAGGTATTATGGCCAAAGGCCCTGCATTAAGTTTCTGGTCCACATTACATTCAGCTCTTGGCCTGGGATTCTCAGAGTTGTCTGCCTAAAATATCACAGCTTCTCCAACTTTTTACCCTTGGTGGAGGATAGTTTTAGCACCTTTTCTTCATGAACATTGGTATTATTTGCTATTGTGATACTCTGCTGCAACAAAAAGAAGTACTCTCAGATACAGCAGTTGCACTGGTTCTGGATGCAATTTCTGCCAATATTCCCGATTTCCCCGAATTTGTGGTTTTGACTGAATTCTTTATTGTTCCAAGAACACAGATTTGTGGCTTCATTTAACAAGCATCGTTAAACTGGATTTTGTGAAAAATTATGTAAGCATTTAACACTTACTTTAATTCTTTCTTAACCTCTTCATAATCAGCCTGTCCTTTCAGTTTTTCTTCCAGTTGCTTTAAAAGAAAGAACATGGATTTAATTATTTAGATTTTTTTCTGCAGGCTTTCAAAATCATCTTTAAATTATTCCATATATACAGCAGCGCACAAGTGAGGGTTAATGACTCATACCTAATTTACATATATTAGAAAACAAACTATAACCAATTCAACATAAACACAATTATACCTCACTCTTCCTTTGTTTACAGAGTGCCAAGCATTACGGAATTCTGTAAGTTCCAGTTTGGCTGTTCACAATGTCGCTGTCGTGTTCAATAAAAAGATTGGGGAGAAAGGTATTAAAAATGGGGCAGCTGAATTTTTTACAAAATTGATGAATTGAGTAAACAAGCAGGATGCTTTGGCACATACTGTATTCTTAATACGACGGTTCTTGGGAACCTTATCTACATGGAAAAAAAAAAAGATTGAAAAAGCTGTTGTTGACTGGAACGCCTTAGGCTTGTAAGACTTCTACAATGCCTCATGCCCAAACCAAACAGCTGTACCAAGTCATTTTACAAGCATTACTTATTGCAATAACTAATATGATTACACACCAGAGATGAAGCATTGAGACCAACTCAGCAGGTCTTTTTGCTCAGGTCTACCTGACCTGGGGCAGTCTCAATGGCTTCTCTTCGGTGTGAAGATGCCACAAGCGTTGAAACAAACCTCCTAACACAATCCATAACGCAATGCCACACATTTGGACCTTACCCAAGAGCCCCTGCTCCCAACAACAGTGCTCATCACTACAGGATAAATGCTTCAGCAGGCCTAAAACATAGTGATACATAATCGATGCTGTTATGTTGCTTGCAGAAGCCACATTAATTTCCCACTAATGATTTCTTTGCTTAGTACAGGCACACCTGATCCAAGCAAAGAAAGAACAGATCTTACTGGTCTGCAAGTTTCATGGATAACTTCAGGCTGGCTCTGCACCACTTAATTTTTGGTGTTAAAATTGGCACAAAATCTCAAAGGTCACAGGAAACAGAAATAACACAAGGACATACCACCCTCAAAGACAGAGCATCTTCTTTGAAAAGGAAAGGAACATATGACATGAAAAAGAAAAATAGGACTTTATGTCCAGGAGAGGCTGCCTTCAGCAGAGAAGCGAATTCAGGAAGATCCCAAACTCAATTCTGGGCTGCTTGTTGAGTGCAGGAGGAAGGCAGGGAAGGGCTACTGTGAGCTTGGATAATTTTAACAAATCTGTTTAAAATTCAGCCCCTTAAAGTTCTGCGCCAGCACAGTTATGGGTACATGAATGGCAGGGCTGGGACAGAAGTGGGAACCTCTTAATCATGCTGTCTTCCCAAGTGAGCCAGAGTGTAGGTATCACCCATCTCAAAGCCATCCAACGGCTACAAGCAGCAAACCTGAACACTGTGTAACACAGCACCCACAGATTAGCAAGTCCATCATCTGAGCCATCTTAATAATTGAGATGAGGCTTCTTCAGATGACAACAGCAGCATGATGTGGCTCTGTTGGACTTCCAGCTATTTTGCTGTCTTTTAAAGGATTTCCTATCACACCCCTTCCACCTCACGCCTTGCTGACATTTCTGCCTTGCCATTAGTACGTATACTAAAAAGCAGTGACAAAGTGGACATCTTTGTTATCAATATACAACCCCCTTAAATTCCTGTTCCTGCTTTTTGATACCATAAACCACAGTCCTTAGTCACTGCTGACAAGAGGCGTCTCCCGGCAGTAACACACGGGCCCTGCTCTGGCAGCTGCTCAGCAAGCAACTCTTAATGGACCACCGCCACTGGTTGTTGCAGGAAAGCAGAAACTGTTGTCAAGTGTGGAATTTGCACTCTATGGGACACTGATGACATGAGTAGCCTTTTAAAAAGTCTCTTGTCCTAGCATCCCTAGCCATCAGTAACTTGTGCAGTCATTCACATTGTGTTAAAATGAGAAAAAAAGTCTATTTCAGCTAAAACAGTTTTTTTCACCTGGAATAAATACAGAGCAAGTTTTAGTCATTTCTTCTGACATGTCTTGCCTTACCAAATTCCAGTTAGTAACTGGAATTACAGGGAGTACTGACTTTGCTTTATATAGCAGAAACAGTGCCACAGGTGTCTGAGCCCTGATAAAAACCCCTATACTGATGTAACTAGGAAAATCCTGCTTGATGTGACCAGGAAAATCCTACAAATATTAAAGATGTTTGAGGTTTTGAAAACCCCCAAGATGTGTTGAAATCTCACTATGCAAATGTACTACAAAATCCTGGGACCCAAGGTGCCACTTCAGTTCCTGACGTTTTAAGGAGGGCCAGCTACAACACGCCACAAATTCAAGCAGCTTTTCAAGCCCCAGCTCGACGCTGAGCAAAACAAGAGTTACTTTAACAAGGTATCCAGCTAGACTTTTTAATGCACTGGATGAGGCTCTGTAAGACTGGAGAGGGATCTTTAAATGAAACCAGGGAGCCAGAGAGCCCTCGGTACTGGGGAGGAGACTCAGCATCACGACTGACAGCTTCCAAACTCGACGCAGGCAATGGGAGGCCGCTGCTAACACCACGCGGCATCCTTCAGCTTGCTCTGGCCGTGTCGCTCAGCCGGCCGCTTCTAATGGCTTTTTGCTGCTCTACAGCTTGAAGCAAAGACACACAACAATTCACCTCTTCCTTAACTCTGTGACTTGTAACATTTTTGGGACTATAGCAGATTAGCTTTTACAGTAAGCATAACTGACTATTTGCACCAGTCCTCGGTATAAAAAGTACTGGGGTAAATTTAAAACAAACTATCCTGGATTAATAAGTTAGTTACTTATGCAAGGATATGCTAAGAAAAGAACCTTTTGTAAAAACAGATTTAAATACAGAAAAGCTACTCATTCTCATTTTAATGCAATCTATACTAAATGTAATTCTGTAAAGGGATATGCTATAGCCTGAAAGTATTCCTGGAAATCTTAGGTACAAAACACAGACAGGGGAAGAAAAAAAAAGATGTTGACAGAATGAAGCTGTTTTGGACTCTCAGGTACTTGTAGGCTGTTACAGCAGTATGGCAACCAGCAATATTTTACTTTGAATTGTATAAAAAACACATACATCCATCATTCCCAAGTACCTAATACAGAGATTGTTGCCATGGAAAATCTGCACCTAAATGTATACTGTATGAAACAATATAAACTAACAACTGAGAATGCAATGCCTGTATATAAGCAGACCATTTAGGCACTTGGCATCTTCCCAGTCAATGACTGTTTTAAAATGTATTAGTATGGTAATTGTCTCAAAGAACCCTGTAAAATGCACAAAACATGGTAAAACAAAGGTTCAAGCTGTGAGACAATCTGGAGGAGCTAATATCTTGCACTAAATATCAACCTGGTTAATTCAGACAAAATATGTTCTAACGTTCTCCAACACACAAAAATGTAGGGTGCCAGAAGACAGAAGGAATGGACTGGTGGCATTTCTGCATGCTAAATTTTCAAATATTCCATGTTAAGGAATCGTCTTGCATTTGTTGTGTGAATGGACCCATGTTAGAGCATGCATAGATTGGGTCCCCTCTTATGGTATTTAAGTAAAAAAAATCATTATTGTATTATTAACTGAAGTCTCTCAGGTAAAGAACATGGGCTGTATTAAGGGGGCTTAAAACACTTAAAAAGCCCCATTAGACTAATGTCATAGTTTAGTTCAGAGTGATAAACTAAAAAGTCCATATTTAATTAACCCATGTTATTTGATGTATCTCTTTGCTACCTAGCACTGTTGTATTTTAACTGGGTAACAGGGAAGCTCTAACTCCCAGCCACAAAGGGTTAATATAATTATAGTTAGAAAAGTCTTGTTACTAGAGGACATGTTTGGATTATTAGATCAGATGAAGATAAAGGAGCAATAAGTTTGAAAGTATTTCTGTGTTGTTTCATTAAGTCACAGAGTATTAAAGAATTCCCCTAAGATATGGTCTGAGAACATTGCTTTAATTTGTGAAACTGTGATTCATTTTTTGTGGAGGCAACCATTACAATCTCTGTTATTTTAGAAGCAATTCCTCTATAATCAAACATGAGATCAACACATCACCACTGAGATTTGGTTCTTTGTACGACAGATCTCAGATACAGGTCTTCCCAGCACTTTGGGGTAAAAGTATGTACTTTGAAATATATTTATAGTGCAACAAATAAGGTTAAAGAGGGTTGAAATGACTAAAACTTTATCAATAGAGTCACTGCATCAGACACTATCAACAGGAACCTAAATACGGAGCATTAGCCAGGCAAGCCTATGAGAAAATGGAAGATTACTGAAATGAAAATCAAAGACTTGCTCTGTCATTTCTATGATCCTATTCCCTTTGAAGTTAATGGCTAAACTAATACTGACCTCACCAGGAACATGCTTTATTCCAAGAAAATCTGTCAAGTGCAAGGACTCAAGATATTTTCTATCAGGCTTTATGAAAAAATAAACCCCGTAACATGGGTGTAGCCAGCAAAATGTGTCCCTCAAAACCAGGCCAGCTCTTTCCTCCCTAAGAGTGGTGCCCACGTGGTGACGGATAGGCAGAGCTGATACTGTCAATATAGGAACCTAATAGGTTTCCTTTGCTCTACTGAATTTTCATAAAAATTCTGCAAGGCTGTCTTAAAACATGCAGAAAGCATACTGAATGCAACACTTCAGCTTTCATCCCTAACAGACATTTCTCCACATAAATTATGTTACACCAGAGCAAAACTTGTAACCGCTAAAAAATGTCAGAATTAGAACAATTTGTAAGAGTTTCAATTGAACATTAAATCATTCTGATAGAGGAAAGCTACCCACGCCACAGTCAGAGCTAAGTGGGTACTACCAGCCTCCCGCTTTCAAAAAACTCTCGGAGTATAAAACCTGCAAAACTATGAAGTCTTTAATGGAATAGATAAATTTATCTTGTTTACACTTTGAAGCTCATAGATGGTAGAACAATGAGAGAGACAGGAGTTACAGGAAACTGATTCATAACACCTGTCAGGAAACATTTCTCATGCTTACCGATAGAGCAAAACTGGGGAGGCTAGCACACAAAGAAAGTAAAGCACCTGAAGCAAAGGGAAAAGGGTCACTCACAAAATCAGTAGATGTTTCTTCTGGTTCCACTGCAGTGCTAGTGGTATGCAAATGAGTATAGGATGGGACCACTAATTATATATGGGAATTACTGTGCAGCAAATATGCAGTTAAAAAAATAAATTAAATGGTTATTAAGACTAAAAAGTCTTCTCTCCGTGTCTTGATTTACTTTTTTTTTATGCTCTAAACAATACACTTCCCTTTTCCAGTGGAGACAACTGAAGGGGGTAGCAGGTAAAGTCCAGGATCAACCACAGCACAATAAACTTCCCCGGCAAACCTGCAATACCAATCACTGGAATGGGAATTAGAAGTTTTAAAACCTAAGAAGGATTTTCTCTGCCTTTTCAGTTCAGCTATTTCACTACATACCCATGCTAAACGTAAGTTGAGGGTTTTAATACTAAAGGTAGCCCTGTTCTCCAAAAAGAAATCTCAAACCAATGAGAACTAGGTAAATTAAATTTCATCAAAACCGTGATCATTTAGAATAAAATGTCACAGAAACAAGAATTCAGCAGCATCCTGAAGAAGTCAAGGGCTTTTACCATTGAACCTTTTACCTCTCAGAACCACAGAAATCTTTTACATCAGTAAAACCCAGTATTAGTATGTCAGTTACATCCTTTGAAAGCTGCTGAGCACAGAACCGAGCCTTACTTTAAGTGTGCTGTTCTTGGCGGTCAGCTGCTGCTCCAGCTGTGAAATTTGGCTGCTGGAGTTCTCCCGCAGCTTGGTGAGGCTGCCCTGGAGTCTCTGGACATCTTCTACGAGCTGGGCGATTTCCCGCTCCTTCGCAGCCAGTTCTACTTCCAAGCTGGACCGTGTTAGCACCTCGATGGCCTGTTCCTGATGTGAAAAAACAGTATTAGACCACATAAATAAAAAAAGGCAACAAGCCTGAATTCAGGGCAGTTAGGTAAGGATGAAGCATGGTGTTGGGTGGCATGAGAGACAGAAATAATTTCTAAATCTGGGACTCCCATCATTGACTGCATGAATCTGGAAGATGAGCCTTTCTACTTCCCAGGACAGCTCTTTTTTAAAAATAGGGATAATGGAGAGAATAAATTTCCCTATTTCGTAAGTGCACTGGAAAGATGCAGCCATGAAAATTGGAATATTCTATTTAGTTCTATTTATTATTAATAGTCCAAATGCTTTGACAAGTATAAAAATCTGTGCATACGAAATACTAATCAGATAAAATATTCTGAGGTAATGGAGCAGAATTTCTTAATCAGGAACAGCAGAGTCATCTGCCTTTGGCTCTTCATATGCATGCTGCATGTTTCAGGCAAAATTGTCAAAAATTGCCCCAAACTGCTGCTTCCAATGAACTTGTTCCTTGCATGAAAATTATTCACTGTTATTATTGCTAGCAACTAAAGCCTCTCCTCCACGGGGATGAAGATAGATGTGACAGCTGTAAGACAAGGCCATTCTCCCTTTGGTCTCCACTTTCAGAAATTGCCTTTCCTTTAACAGGATCTTCCAGTTTCCCACAGCTGCAAAATCTGTCCTCAAGTCTGAAACCTCCTCACTACACCAACTTTCCAGTAGGACAAGAAATAAGAGAGGAGACAGAGAACTTAAGAAGGTAGATCTATTCAGAAAAGATATTACAGACTAATTGTACCATCTCTTTTGTCTCCTTTTGTGTTAAGGGATCAATAGCGATAATGCATCAGAGAGCTCTGAACCTCTCTTTCATGAAGAACGTAAGGAAATCCTTGTGCAGATCCGGGGAGCACGAGGCAGCCCAATGATGAACACACATTCCATTAAAAAGCCTAAAACATGCTTTACAGAGGTTAATGGCTGTTCCTCAGAAAATACCAGGGAAGTAGGAAAGAATCCATTTACCAAGAGAGAGAGAATGATCATAAGCATTATGCCAAAGATCCTACAGTGAAAGAGCTGAAAATTCAACCCACCGATGCTGTCACCCAAGCACTTTCCTTACAATGCAAGATGACATTGCAGCAGATTGAAATATACTCCATACCCTCTTTTCTGGAAAATACAGGCACAACAAAATACTGTTTCCGTATCTTCTAAACACTTAGCTTGAATCTCAGTGACTACATACCATTGTATCTCACAGAGAGCTACATGTACGAACAGCAGTTAACAACGCTCTCCTATTACATTGAATTATACTTTTAACTTGAAAAAACCTCTAATTTGCTTGCATGAAACATCACAAGTTGTATAATCATCTGCTGCTTGTGCCTATTGAGACTAGAACGTAGAGTCTGAAATAAGATAGATAATGATCATTTTCATTCTGCAGTAGTTGTCATATTAAATATAAATGAAGTGCAGAAGTACTATTAAATACAAGAAAGACCTAATGTTAAAATAATGATAAGACTAGGACACGAGATAGGAAGAGGCAGGTAATTCAGAGTTACAAGTGATATTCAGGCTTTTTATTTTTTTAGTTTTTTTGTTTTGCAGCCTGCTTGTCTATGTTTTGATTTCTCTGAGAAAATACTGGGTTGTATTAATAGACGACCAAACAGATCGGGAGGACTTGTGGTTTGTTACTCATTCTCTGCAAATGTATTTTAAAGGCAACCATGTGTTTCTCTGATATCAGTGTCAAGCATGTATATGGCTTGCAAGAAAAAAGCAATAAGGAGCATGATTTCTTTTGTTTGTTAAATCTGCTGCTTAGAAGTAGACTAAATTTCACGTAATTGCGTATTTACATTTAAATACTCCTATTTCTCCTTTGGCAAACAAAAATCAAAATAATCTGTCTGCTCATCTGTGATACCTGTTCACCCAGGGCCAGCTGGAGTCCTGTAATAGCACTCCGTGCCCACCAGGTCCGATCAGCAGTCAGTGCTACCAACCTCCCCAAGCAGCGGTGTTCGCTTTATTTAGAAACACACAGAGAAGGCAACAAGCAGCCAAACCTTTAGGAGAACAGCATATCTTCTGAATTTTCTAAGCTTTTATTGGATTTATAGGTGTAATTCTCAGTTTAGATATATTCAGGGGAAACCCGAGTGATACCGAATTGATTTCCAGTTCCTCTGAGAGCCCATACACTGACGACGAGACCCAGACACGGGCTGGCAGCAGGTCCCCGCTACCGCAACCGGCTCTGGGCAAAGTGGGTGCCCTGGCTCCGATGCCCCCACCTCTGCTGCGCCCTCCCAGCAGGCATGTGCTGACTGCCCACCAAGGCACTGTTTGTTATACCGCACTGCTGCCTTTACTTTTCCTCTGCTGATGCTCTTACCGATGTGAAATAATATCTGAGAGCTGCTGCTGCCCACCTGGACCGGCGGCCGCAGAGAGCTGGGGATCGCTGGACCAGCTGCCCCGGAGCAGAGACCTCTGTCCTTCCCGTGGTCTCCTGCAGCCCCCAACCCCTCAGAAGTTTAACCAAACCGCAGTCCCAAAAGAACACGATTCCATTTCGGTTAAAATATTATTCCAAACAGGTATTTTTATAGCTGTGAGCATAAATTGAAAGAGCTGTACTGCAGGAGTGACAGAAACCTGTGAGAGTCAGTAAATATTTTCTCTCACCACATCAGGTGCCTTCTGGATCTGCGTAGCAAGTTGGAGAGATTTGTTAGCTGATGAGAGCTGCTCCCTTAAGGTCTCTGCCTCTCTCTGAGCCACCTCTGCCCTCTGAAGGAAATGAAAAGGGGTGAAAAGAGAAAGTACATTCAGTTTAACAACTGACAATTATTACAAGAACATTCATCAATTCATGCCTGACTGAATATAATTGATTTTCCTAAACACTCAACCTAATAAATGTTAGAAAAAAAACATAGAATGTGATGGATTTTTATTTTAAACAGTACAAGGAAGAAATAATTGAGCGATTATGACAGTAATTTAACGCTAGGAGCAAGGAATCCCCTGCTGATACTAATGCTGCGGCCCACTGAATTTCCCAGACTGAATAAATACAAGTGGAAATGGAGTCTTTTTATTCAATTTCTTTCTATTCTCACAGACCAAGCAGATTTTATTGCAAGGTTCCTCCTGGGAATAATTCTCGCGGGTAAATGCTGAATTAAAAGATATTCTGACCATTCTCTCTAACACACATACAATGTTGTGGGCTGTCTTTCTTCCGTAATTATTTCCCAAAACATGAATTGTTAGATTCTGTTCTTTCAGCAGATCTATTTATTCAACAATATTTAACCCTAAACTGAAAATTTTGCACAGATCAGTTACCAGCTGCTGAGGATTTATGCAATATCTGATAAGCCTGTGACTTGGCTACCAGACAAAATTCCCATATAAATATTAAATAATAATTGAAAAGAGAAAGGCAGAATTATGAGGAAAGCTTGTCTGTAGAAGAGTTTGGGTAGAGACAGATGGATCAGCAACTTCAGGCAATAAATAGCAGCAAAGTCCTTTCCATAACTGTGTATAAGCTTCTGTTAAGAAAAGCTGGTTAACAAAACCTAGTTGTTTTTACAGTGTGTATTTCTCCTGGCCAGACTTTCTTCTTATTTTTTTTTTTAAAAATGTATTTTAGTGTTTACCTCACTGAGTAATCACTGCTTTTCACCTGGGCTTCTCCATGCAAATCATGCCGCACTTGCAGCAGAAAATAGCTAAAATAATTTTCTATCTCCACTTCCAAGACCCATCACCTACTCTTCTAAACCCATGAGCTGCCACCAATGAAGGCCAAAACTTTTCTTGACCAACTTTTACCCTTTACACTGATGGGTTGCTTCCTTTATTGAGTAATAAATTCACACTGCCATTTTTAAGCCACCAAAATTGCTGTATTTCTGTGTGCCAGACTCCCTGCTTTTTCAGCTAATCCTTTTGAAAACTTAAGTCATCTAAAATAGCAAATACAAAAACCTATATCCCTGTGTGTGTGCATGGTCTTTGACTTACTCTCTAGTCGCAGCAGACACTCAGTCTGCATGTTTAATCAATCAGTAAACTAACGGCAATCAAATACTAAACGCATCATCTGCACTATTTGCTCACAACATTATATTAAATGATTTTGCATAGGTTCTACAGCTGTAATTAAAATGTAACTGTAAAAAGTACAGTAACATGGCTCTAATAATCAGAGGATGGGACACAGCCTATTGTGTGCTTAAAAAATGGCAGCAGTATTAAAAAGGCAAAAAAGTTTATCCAGCTGGACAATATTAGGATAAAAAAACTAAGCTAACAATACACATTGAGATAAATCAGTTTCTTGTACTTTATTAGATGTGGATGTACATATATTGATCTAATAACTGGTAAACAACTCCAGCAAAGCAGGATAACTACACTGTGGTACTAGCTCTTGCATCTACTGCTGTATAAGTAATGGGTTTTGCAGCCTTAAGCAATTCTGCTGATGGCTTCCATTCACAGCAGCATTGTTTTGAGAATCTATTCAGCTTGCATGCAAGCAAACCACAGAGGATATTTCTAATAGATGTTACATCTGCATATACAGTAAGCTGTCAGCTGCCCTTTCTGCATAGCCTCCCCAGCCAATTCACAACACCTGTTGTAATCCTGTGAATAATATCATACAAGATTTCATACTATGCATTGTTAAAAATACATCAACAGAAACTTTGGGCAGTTCTATTTGGTCAATTTTTCTTTTTTTTTTTTCCAGAATGGAAGCTTTTTAGAGCCAGAATTGTAGATGTGTTCAGTGTCTGGAAAGCACTTTTGGGTGCTATTGCAATATAAATTATAAATTACACACTGAAACCTGTTAAAAGAACAGCAGTTTCAAAACTGAGCACTTAAAAGTTTTGAAAAGGCAAGCCCAAGGCCGCAGGTGTGTTTGGCCACCCCCTGTGCGCAGGGCTTTGGGAGGCAGGCTGGAACCACACACTGACACGCTAGTGCTTTTCCCAACGAGCCCCCCTACTTCATTCAACTCTCGAGGTGAAAATTGCTCAGTGGATGAATATTTTGCCTCATCCTCCTTGTTCTGCGAGTGACCTCTGCAGTTTATTTACTGCAAACTAATCCCACCCTCCTCCGCAGAGAGGATTAATCGCTCCCTCACGGGCTGTGCTCTGGTTTCCACTCCCAAAGGATCGAAGTGCTCCAGAAGCGCTGACGGGCGCGCTGGCAGAGCCGCCATTTTGGGGCACAGGGGCTGCTCGAGCCCCCCTCGCGCTGCCCTGGGGGTGCTGTGATGGCGGCGGCAGCCGCAGGCCGCCTTCCGCCGCTCCCAACACCCCTCACGGCGGCTGCGGTGCTGCCCCCCTGAAACACCCCCCGGCTTTGCCTGACTCCCACCCCTCTCTGCCTGTCACTTTGTCCCCTTCTTAATTCATTTTGCCTGCTGGAAGCACCATGTTGGTCTTCTCTGAGCTTCCGGGTGCCTTTAGCTTCAGGCAGGCAAAACCAAGCTCATACATCGCAACGACCTAACGAATCACACAAACTTCCAGAATTAGTCTTACCCCGCAATTTCCTCCTTCCTCTTTTCCTTGTTGCTCCTTCTCCAGATGTTCTTGTAGCAGCCCCGTCCCAGTCCTTCTCCTCCCTCCCTCTCCACCACGAACCTCCTTCCCTGCTGCCTGCACCCAAACGACGCTGCCCGTCTCCCCGCCGCGGCAGCAGCAGCCTGGGGGAGCGTCTCCCCTTCCAGTGCTCCCGCCGAAGTGGCACTGAACCTCACATTGCAACCAAGAGGAGAAAAACCTAGCTGGTTAATGTTCGCCCAGCCGGCGCAGTGATAGACTGCAGCATGCTTGGGACAGGCACGGACATCAAAGCCAACAAATTCAAACCAGATTCTGTTGAATTTGTGTGAACTCTTTTTTTTTTTTTTTCAGATGCTTATAGGCTGGCCAAACTTGGGGCGTTTGTTGCTTTTTTTTTTTTTTTTTTTTTTTTTTTTGCTACTTGAAGCAACAGAAGATACAATCCTGAGAAAAAGGCAAACCCTCCCTCATCAAGTGCCAAGCCCCTTCTCTTAAATATGGGCACAGCAGGCTCCTCACCAAAACAGCAAGAACAACTCGTAACATGTGGGGAAAACTGGATTTTTTTCCCTAATCTTGTTCTTAGAAATAAGTTGAACAATTTCTCCTGAAATAAGAAAAGAGAGTGCAGCCAGAGACAGACACCCAGTATGGAAAATGGCTAAAGCCTAGCAGTCTTGCACAACTTGGAGCCACTGGAAAGTTCATGTAACCTTCTCTGTGTGTGAAACTATCCCACTTAGGCTAAGAAATATGTATCCCATAGTATAGCTGCTTTTCGTCAATCAGTGCTAAAACCCTTGGTTTCTTACTTCCAAATTTACTACGCATGGCCTCGAAAACCCATGATGATCAGCAAGAGTCACACTACTGGCCTTGATAGAGCTCATGTAAATCCAGCATTCTTTAAAAACACTGTTTTTCTGGATAGTTCAGTCATACAATTCCTCCTAATTTCTATACCGCTGTTCTTCTAGCATAGGGCTACCCCTCAGTAACAAAATATTTCAAAATACTTTAATTCTCCTTAAAATAGCATGTAAATATTGTACTGTTCACAGTGGAGCCAGTAGGTCATGATTGTAATGCTGCTGTGTGCTTTCCAATTAAAAAAAAAAAAAAGCCTTACTCAATATATCCAGTTTAAATTATTCTCATTGTTTCCTGACAAGATAATGAATAGCATGAACTGAATGCTCTTCTACTTACAGTAAAATGTTAATTTGATCAAAGACCAGTGGTGTGAATAGCAAAATGAGATACTTACAAGCAAAAAAGTATAACCTTTCCCTTAAAGTTCCACTAGCCAAACTATATTTCCTTTTTACATGCTAAATTCAGTGCTATACGTGACAAAATCTTCCTATGGGCTAGAAGTATATATTATCACAAGTAATTCTGTTGAACTTAATGAGCCTGGTTATGGCAGTAATCACCGTGCTTCGTTTTAAGCGCTTAAAGCTGACATTCTCACTTGCAAGCTGCTACAAAAGCTATGTTTCTTGGAGTATGAGATCAATTAAAGCACACTGGTTCAACGTGCTTTAATTTTCTAACTTTTGAGATATACAAATTTATTTTAAAACCTTTAAATGACCCTAGCTCTCACAGCAGAGCAAGGTTATCAGAAAAATCTGTGACATGAAAGACTCTTCAGGGCTCTGACACCTATTTTTTCCAGCAATGGAGAATTACATGAAAAAAAGAAAAAAAGTCCAACAGAAGAGGTTGGGTTGTCTTCATTCTTGTCTTCAGGCTATTGCACTTTCCTTTGAGCTCTGAAAGGCTGCCAGATAAATGTATTCCCAACTGAAAGCCAGGCATTTACAGGAAACTCCTGTGTTTGTATGAAAATAATATTAACCATATTCTGCCTTTATACAGCATTTCTCCGTGCAAGGATCTCAACACACTTTATAAAGTAAGTGTTATTATTCCCATTTTACAGATAGTGAAATCACTGGATTAAGTGAATGACCTCATCTGCTATAAAACAGCGTAACTTTTCTGAATTCAGCTGGGCTGTGGCACACCACGATAGCAGAGGATCTAGTCCATTGCAAAGAGAGTTAGAAGTAAAAAGCAAATACTCTGGCAGCACTTGTGGGCAAGTGTTAGCCTTGGTGCAGAGGATGGAGTCCTGCTAAGAAGCATACCCTTTTTCGTGGGAACATAAAGACTGCCCTGTCCCTG